CTTATCTAGTGATCTAATCTCAATCATCTTATCTTTCTAGGATTACATTCAACACTTAAATCTGATAAGACTCTCTTTCTGGAGATTACATTCGAAATTGGGACTCTTGGCTCTTGAATTCGAGTTGGGCTGCTTTAATAACTTGGGCTGCTACAAAGTTCTTTAGCGAATTGGGCTTCAGCTGTGAAATGGGCTTTGCTACGAACTTGCTCCGACTTTGGGCCCGATTGCGTCTTCGATACGGACCGAATCTGTCAAAACCCAAAACATAAACGTTGTGGGCCTATCCTTCATCTTTCCAGTGCATCTTGAATTATCCAAATCGAAGTCCGGAATAGAGAGTTATGCCCAGATTACTAAATGGTGCCGAAACTATGCAAAATCATCCGATTAGCCTTGTTTTCTTCCAATCGCCCCCTTGCTTGCCCTGAATCGAAATACAAGAGTAATGAGTCCAATTAAGTTTTAAAATAATGAAAAGGAGTGAATATTTGGGGATAAAAATAGGGTACTTGTTAGTCTCATCAAATCCCCCAACACTTAAACTTTGCCCGTCCTCGGGCAAGGCAAAATTCAAGCAAATATAGAACAAGAACAAACTAATTATCCTACCGCTTTTTAAACTCAACTCTCCTTCATCTTTTTCCACAAATATTCTAGGTTAAATATTTTGAACCATTAAACCAACACAACAAAACCATACACAACTCATTCAGCAGTCACTCCAATTTTTGCTACTGCAAACCAGGTAGTAAATTAGAGAAAACCTTTTTATCTTCTCTCTCTTTTTATTTTCTTTTTCTTTCCTCTGAAGAAGTGAGTGCATTTTATGCTCCACCTCACTTTTGAATTATTTGGTCAGTAGGTGCATTTTATGCTCCATCCTACTATTTGAATTGCTAGCTAGTAGGTGCATTTTATGCTCCATCCTACTATCAGATGACTTGGCCGGTAGGTGCATTTTATCCTCCATCCTACCATCGGATTACTTGACCGGTAGGTGCATTTTATGTTCCATCCTACCAATTGTGGCAATGGTAAAGTATTTACCCTATTTACTTAAACCTGAATTTAGGACTAGCTTAATTGGAAATGGCTTCAAATAAGTCATGTACTCCTTGATCGTACCTCATTATTAGGTTCACAAGAATTTCCCTAGAACATTGTTTCAATTGATTTCAAAAGAGTTGAGGTTTTTTTTTTATTTTTTTTTGAAAAGAAAATGCAGAAAAACACGACATAAATCAAATTTTAAAACGCAACCTAAATTCTAACCGAAATCCCCTCCCCCACACTTAAAACTTACATTGTCCCCAATATGAGGTTAAATGCAAAGAAAGGGCAGAAAAACTAAAGTAGAAATGTAAAAATAGAAAGAAAAAGGAAAAACAAACTTCCCTATTTTTAATAATCATGATTCAGATCCTCTAACTCTCGTGGTTGCAGCTTTCTATGTTCTCCCCTTTCATCCATCATGGGCGGGTTCAAATCTGGAATAGGGGCCTACAAAACAGATGGTGATGATTTCTTCATATCCAATTGTGCACTCAATTCGAGATCCTCATTCAAATATTTTTCTTCAAATGTTTCCTGCACAATTGAATCAACAATGTCAATTGAACAAATTGAATGACATTCATTGGGGTACTTCATTTCTTAAAAAATATTAAATTTAACAATCTCGCCGTCAAATTCGACGGAGAGGGTACCCTCATCCACATCTATTTTAGTCTTGGCCGTTTTCATGAATGGCCTGCCTAATAGAAGTGGGGCTGAACTTGTGACCGTGTCCTCCTCCATCTTCAGAGTGTAAAACTCGGCTGGAAAGATTAGATCATTAACCTGGACCAACACATCCTCAACAATCCCTTCCGGGTAGGCATTAGAACGATCAGCTAGTTGAGTTTCCTTTAAGGGACTTAATCTCAAAGCACAATAAATCGAGTATGGCATGACATTGATGGATGCACCTAAATCTAACATGACACGCTCGTTTCTTTTATTGCCAATCACACAAGGTAAAGTGAACATACCTGGATCAGCACATTTTTCCGGCAAGGTCCTCTTAATGACAGCTGAAACGTTTTCTCCAACCCTTAACTTCTCATCGATTCGCAACCTCATCTTGTTAGTGCACAACTCCTTCAGAAATTTTGCATATTTTGAGATCTGTTTGATGGCATCTAACAAGGGTATATTTATCTCCACCTTCCTAAAGGTCTCCAAGACTTCTTGCTCATATTCTTCCTTCTTGGATTTTTCCAACCTACTAGTTTCTCCTCTTCCTTAATGGGGCTCTCGTTTGAATCTTGTTTTTCCTCTTCCTTCTGTCCCTTATCTACCTTCCTTGGTGAGGTAGGTTGTGGCTGCAATTCCTTCCTTCTTCTCAGCACCACTACACTAGCATTTTTCTTGGGATTAACTACCGTCTGCGATGGAAGCTTTCCAAAGTTCTACACCTCCAACTTGCTAATGGAAGTAGCAAGCTGACTGATTTGTTTCCCTAAGTTCTGGATGCTGGCCCTTGTGTCCTATTGAAATTTTTGAGTGTTAGTAGCAAGAGCCTTAACGATTTAATCTAATGACATATCTGAACTTGAGGGTTGAATTTGCGCTGAGATAGGTGCTGAAATTGGGGGTTGTCTGTTGAAAGCTTGGGGCTGATATCTCTGTGGTCCTCCTTGATTTCCATAGTTCAGATTGGGATGATCCCTCCTCCCAGGATTGTAGTAATTGGAATAGGGATCATACTTGCATTGAGGTTGGCCCGGAAATCCTCCTACGGCACTAACTTGCTGCATCGAACAATCCTGCAATGATGGACACATATCCGTAGGATGCCCAGGAATCGAACAGACACCACATACCCTTGCCGTTTGCAATTGCCCAGTAGCCACTTGTCGAACCAAGGCAATTAGATCAGAAATTTGATTTTCTAAATTAGGATGACTTACCTCATTAACACGCCTGATAGTACCATCTATTCTTGCTCCGAATTGTTGTGAATTTTCATCCATGTTGGAAATTAATTCTCTAGCCGCTTCAGGTGTTTTATTGACCAAGGCTCCACCACTAGCTGTGTCTACCATACTTCTATCCATAGGTTGGAGTCCTTCTGTTAGACAGTTGTATGCCCTTAGCTCCAATCA